GCATGTGACTGGCATCAGCATGGTCTCATCACTGCCATATGCTCCTCCCCTTCTATCTATAGGGGAAAGATGGCCACACACAAAACAGGCCTGCAGGGAGCTGGAAGATGAGGAACGAAGCGAACACTTTGATCCTCAGAGTCGAGGGCAGCCTCATCAGCTCTCAACCTGCTCTTCATTAATAGCAATGATTGTTGCTTCCTTCATATGTTCATAAGTTGGGGTGTGTGTGGCGTAAGGATGGGGGAGGTGTGAGGGGGAGGAAGTGTCGTAAGGAAAGAGGAACAAAAGAGATAAATAGCAGAAGCATGTCTCTGTACCTCAGCCTATATGATTAATGTGAAGGTCCTTTCCTCATCGCCTCCTCCATTACCAGTCCCCATTCTCTCTGAGTGCCTCCACACTTGATTGCTCAAGCTGATCCTCATGCACACACACAACCAGAGAGCAGAAGCAATAAACAAACTAAGCAAAATGTGGTCAGAGGCTGTGGCCAAGTGCCCCCGCCTGGCCAGTACATTTCACATTAACCAGTGACCTTATGCGAAATAAAAAAAAAAGCTACAGAGTCTTTAGTCGTTCCTTTCAATCACACATACTCTGCTGTCCCTTCATAGGATTCTAGGAGGAAATGCACAAACCCCTCCAGTCCATCGCCACAACCACCGTCACCTCTTTCCAACCAGCCGAGCAGGCGTTGGTCTCGTCCTGCCAAGAAGCGGCCGCTCTCCTCAAACCTCTCCGCCAACATCCCCTCCTCACCCCCTTCTTCACACTCCTCCCTCCCAGCATGCATTACAACAACATCAGCACTTAATTAAACAGTCCATTTCACACCTGGTGTGCATAGCGGTGCCCAGCCAGCCCTGCATCCATATGCCACCCCAACCAGCACAAGCCTCAACACGTGCACTCTTAGCACACAAACACAGGCAAAGATGGACGCAGACACTGCACACACCTGCTACTACAGTCTTGGACATGCACTGACAACACAACACAAAGCCTGTAATCTGCATCACTGAGTTGGGGGGGATGGGACAGTATGCACACACACACACACACAGACAATATGCGTGTTGCTGTGCCAGGGAGAGAAAGGAAGACGGTACAAGATGGCGGTTGGAAATAAGAGGAGGAGTGCCTTCTGCTGACTGTACAAACTGTACATCCAGCTAAATAATGCCCCGTTTGTGATCATACTCTTAAGAAGTGGGCATAGAAAGATGGATGAAGGTAAAGGAAGTTGGCTTGTTTGTGGGTCTTTCAGGCACAGTAATAGCCTAAAGGACTTCACACACACAAAACGGACACACTGAGCACAGCGAGGCTGTGCAAGCTCCAGGCAGGCTCCAGATGGAGAGGTCAGCGACACACTGCCCCGCTGTCCCAGCATTCTCTGGGCTCCCAGAAACAAGGGAAGCCTCTGGCCACACACATGCACCTAATAACACACACACACACACATTGACTTTATAATAGACACTCCTGGTTTTCACAAATCTACTAATTACTTCCTAATCCTTTTATCTATCCAGTTCAGTTCATTCCATCTAATCTAAATACCTTTATTCTCCCTCACTTCATTTTCTCTCCTGCTGTAAAACTCTTGTCATGTTTGTGTGTCTCCACAGAGTGGAGAAGAAACAACTGAGATGATTAAACCCAGATCGTCTTAATTAATCAGATATCAGGAGGTCTGATTTTCCGCGGCGGCGTGCTGGCTGCGTCTGTGCCGGTTTGCTTACACATGTGAGCGTACGCTGAATGAGAGTGTCCTTTATGCTGCTCCGATACTCATTATCCATCACCTCCCCTCTTCAGCACAGCTCTCAATACACAAAGCTATTCATTATGCTCGCCTCAGACAAGTGACGAAGTATGTGCCTGTGTGCATGAAGGCATGGGTGTGTGGGTGTGTATACAAACAGCAGCCGTGATCCGGGGTCTTAAATCAGTTCAGCGGCTGGTCGCTGTGATACCGGTGCTTAAACTAAACTAATTCCTTAAAGCCTTAGAACGTGAGTCATGACATCTCTCATACATATATTGCCCCTGAAAGCATACACCACACAGGGTGGGAAAGACAAGAGAAGGCTGAGTCAAAAGGTAATGAAAGAACAGCAGGCTGCAGCATGTAAAGAAATCACAAGGCTTATACCACTGCAAAGACAACTGTTTATACATGTGGGGGTGTTTGGGTGTGCGTTGGTTATAAATACAGACTCTGTAGACAGAAAATGACTTCAGCTCAGGAGCCATATGACTGCCCACCCTGGAAACACAAAGCTTCCTACACAGGCAGTTGCACCTTGCTGCATCTCCAACAGCCGCCTCACTGACACCTCACTACCTACTCAACCAGGCTGTGCAGATCTCAGAGATAACAAAGGCAACGTGCTTTTAGTAAAAAAAAAAAGGTACATCTGCTCTCAGTACGACAAAGGGAAAAAAAGCAGCTCTTTCTTGTGCCGATTTTGAATTACCAATACTTTTGTGCACTTCTCACATACGGTAAAACTAAATATTAGAATGATCAGTTTTAGGGCAGATTTAATAGAAATGGGATGGAAATTTTTTTATAAAAAGAAAGGGGTTCTTTTTTAAAGTAAAAGGCAAGACTGAATTGGTGAGTAAAATTAGTGTTTGAGTGCCCAGAAAAGCGCCTTTGAAATAAAATGTATTATTATTATTAATCATAGTGTTTGACAGCAACAGTCGGAGCGATAGGCCTGACATATAAGGCTAAACCAGTGAGCAGAGATAATGGGCTGAAAGACTGTGTGAGGAAATTAAGAAGAAGCTGACTGACTGTATGGAGCTAATAAATCATCTGATGAGCTCTGGGCCCAAGGCTTTGGTATGTTGGGGAGAAAGGTGTCCAGGGAGAGCAGCAAACTGGAAGGAGTCCCTCTGATTAAGGTGCAGAAACAAAGTGGTACTATGGCTGCTGTAGCCCCAGGGCCATTGGAGCAAAGACTTTCCTTTTTAAAAGGCATTCAAACATTTCCAGAAATTCTTTGATGTACAGCTCAAACTGTATTGAAATTATACCAGCTTAAGATCGGAGTCATTACTGATGTCATGAAAGAATTGTCAGCTTTGAATTCAACAAAACATTAAGATTTACTGTCATAACATCAGTAATTGTTTTTAGATTTTGGAAAAATTACCAGCTGCTGGTTGATAGACTGACACTAGTGAAAATTAGTACTTTATATGCATTACATGAATAGAGTCAAAACTATCAGACCTTTCAGTTTCTGACCAGCCCATTACAGATTGAAGCCAATAAAGGGAATATAGATCAGCTGTAGATCTTGGGTGGTTGATCAGTGGATCTATAATGGTGCGGACACACACAACATATCCAGCGACCAATTTGCAAATTATCCCTATGAAGAGATTCGGGACCACCTCGATGCAATAGGCACTATTTAGTGATTACAGCAATGCAACACCTGTAAAGGATGCAAAGCAATGCTTACTGAAGCTGGAAAAAATTGTGTGTTTTTCTGTGTTGGGTAAAAAAGTGCTTTAAAAACTGCCTGTGGCTGGAATTTCAGGGTTAAGAAGCAGAAAGTTTTCCAACCGAAGTGGAAAATGTAAAAAAAAATAGTATTGACCAAGGAGATTTAGTCAAAGTAGCTCCAGAGCAGGTCCTGCCCAGCTGCTGCAGAGGCTGTGGTGTCCTCTCCACCTGCCACCTGAACAATCGCTGTCCTCCTCTTATTTTTTATTTTTTAGCCGTTAGCTTCAATAGGTGGCATATCTCTGCCCCACTCTGTGCCCTCTCTTCCCTGGTGTCTTCCTGAGATTCACCACTGCCCTCCTTTATTGTGTCACATTTATTTCAAAACTGTTTATCTACCACTGCACAACAAAATCAAAAGCTCCTCCCAGGGGCGCTCGGGGATCTCGCCGCACGCACGATTTTCTATCCAACGGTCACGCTCGAGGATGACTGCGCTCTCAAAAGCGTCTCTGTCCTCGGACTGATTTTCTCCTAGCACGAAGGAATATGCGTTTTGACAGGTTGGGCGGAGACAAACCTCTTCTGTAAGCCTCCGCCTGTTTGGGACTTGCAGACATGATCACACGGGAAGTAGTGTCAGGAAGCCTTTGACTGACAGCTCGTCATCCATAAGTGAAGACTACGGCTGGAGGCGGGACAGTGGCGGAAGCTTCTCCAAGCACGCCTGGGAGGAGCAGGGGTACGCAGAGAGAAATTTTCTCCTCTCGAAGCGGCAGTATCTCACACATGTGTGATTCTGTTCTGTAGTGGTAGATAAACCGTGCACAGAAGTAGTTTAACGTACATGTGAGTATGTTTATTTTGCTCGTTAGCGTTTTAAAATGTGACGCCATACTCCTTCCTTAGCTCTGGAGCAGGGCATGGCTGGTCGCCTGGCGTACCCTATTCCGGGGTTCTTGCTCTGAACTCCTGCTGCTCCTGCCAGAGCTCAGGTGAAACGACAGCAGTCTCAATGCAGATTGCCAGCAATATGTCAGGGGAGTAACATCACGCAAATGTGGTGAATTTGGACTACAGATAGTGTGAACACACTATTGATCCTTGATCAGTGCTTTCTCTGGCATCTCTATTAAAAAAAAAAGACAAAAAACTGTATGATGGAAGATTTTGTTTTTTTTTTAAGATTACAGTTAGCCGAAGTGTCAAGAATTATGGGGACAGGTCGAACTGAGCATAGAGACTCTCACAGAGAGCATTAAATGAGTCAACTAGAGGGGTTCTTTACCATACTTCAGATTTCCAGGGACAGCTTTAAGTTCAATAGAGCAGACAGACCACATGATTCATGTTAAAAGTACTAACTAGATTAATGAGTTAAAATTTGAAGAAAAAAAGGAAATCAAATTTGGCAAAAAAAAAAAAAAAAAAAGTTTATAAATTCTCAATATTATGAAATTTTTCTTCCAAAACGAACTTCCAGTGTCAATCAGGAATCAATCCTAATCACACCAAGTTTTAGTTTTACCTCTAGGTTCTTCGGCCTGTTTTGCCAGTTTACGGAGGGCTGCGGCGAATCCGGAGTGGGCTGACTGGGCAGCTGGGCTTCCATTTGCTACGATGGAGCCGTTCAGAGGCGACGGGGTGAGGGGGCTGACCGTCGCCGTTGTACGGGTCGCCGTTGAGATCATTCCTAATGATGGTGACTTTGGCTCATGGCTCATGCCTAAAGAAGCAGACAAACACAAAGGAGGGTGGGAGGTATTAATTGTTTGCACAGCTAACAATAAAGAGATCCATAACTTTCCTACCCGAGTAAAAAAAAACAGCCACCTCTGCCTAAAAATGGCCTAAATGGAAATTAAAGCTAGAGGAACAATGCAAAGAAACAAGTGAGAAGTAAAAGACATTTGGCTGTTTCCTCGAAAACAGGCTAAGGCCGGGGAGATAGTGATGGTGGTTATCTGTGACAGCTGGAGACGATGGGGATTCAGGGCCGTACGTCTTACGGTCAGAGGTGGAAGGTCAGGAGGGCAGGTCACTCTTCCTTTTGTCAGGAAAGAAAAACCCTCAGAGGTATGCCCACATGGCCCCTGGTGGCCCCCGGTCACAATTTACACAGAAACTCTATTGAGCATTTGCCAATCATATAAGTGAAATCCAAACACATGAATGTAAGCAAATTCACATCCAGCAGAATAAATCTTTCTCTAAAATGAATTCAAGAAAAAAAGCTTGATTTGTAATACATTTTTATAGTGAAGAGGGAATAATCATTGGCCATTCTATGGTAACTATGAATAACTAGCAGCATGTAAAAGTTACATTATTTTCATGACCTTGAACGCGTGCTTGTGTGGACTCCATTTTGGTATGACTTTACCTTTACTGTTGTGAGGAAAAGTGCGTGTTTCTATTTGTCCACTGGCTACAAATCTCCCTTCCCTTCTGTGTGGAAGCAAAACCAAGTTGAAGCCTATTACTGCCACCTAAAGGGCTGGAGTGAGAAAGTCAACGTCTTAACTCTTGGTTTATGTAATTGGAGCAAAATTGAGAAGTTCTACGATTTGAAATCTGGTTTTAAAAATCTGATTATATTGCAAAAGCAATTACTTGCACAGCCCTAGTTTCCAGACCCTATGTTTTTTGCAAAAGGCTAATTTTTCATTTCCTTAGTTCTTTTTTTTAGCAGTTTAGACTTGCTTTTAGCATTTGTTTAATAGAAAATAGAAATCAGCTGATAATATTTTTTCATGCTAGAATCAAATATTCACTGATCAAAGTTGATTACAGCAGTTTGATTCAAATTTCTGTCTGTTTGGTGGATTAAAATAACATAGCCAAATGTGGCTGTGCGGCAACAAGTTGGGGAGGGGCATATTCTATAATGAGTGAGTGTTGGACTAGTGAGTTAGAGCAATGCGCTTGCGCTGTGAGAATGTTGCAATTACCCGGTCCAATCCCCACAGCCTGCACTCTGGGTTTCTGAGCAAGACCATCAACACCGATTGCTCCCCGGGTGCCGCACAATGGCAGCCCACTGCTCCCCAAGGGGATGGGTTAAATGCAGAGGTACATTTCTCCAATGGGAAATCAATAAAGTGCAGTTATTATTATACAGAGCTGGCCTTAAAACCCCAGGAATGGTAAATTGCAAATTGCAGTTTTATTTTTTTAACTTTTTAAAATGTCTATAACTCATCAAAACTGGTAACAGTCCCATGGATATAAAAACATTTTTAAAAACAAATGCGGGGAAAGGATACACTGTATTTAATATTTCCAAGTTAATAGAAAGAAAATGAGAAAAGTGAAGGTTAGAAAACCTGAGAAATTATCACATTTTGGTCACAGTTGGGTGGTGAATAGAGGGTTATAAAAGTGTGAGAAGAGCTGCCCCTTTGCTTCCTGTACATGTATGTGTGTGTGTCTCTTGTAAAATGAACCATGCCGACAGTCTCTGTGTTAGCGCAATCCCTAAATGCCAGAGTGGAGCTTGATAGCCTTACATGCTACAGCAAAACAAACACAAAAATAGGGGTGGCTCAAAGGACAGTGGAAGTTCAGACAAGTGTAGGTTTAGTGAGCCTGAAACATTAACATCAACACACAAATACTAGGAAGCGTATAAGGAAACCCTTTAAAAAGAAACTGGTGAATCAATATCCTCTGCAATCTTCTGACTGACAGTATTACATTGATTAAAGTATAAAAAAGCAAAATATGCCAATATCTCACCGCCATAATTAGGTAACTAGGAGTTATAGCTGGGTTTACCCCAGAGGTTCAGAGCTATAAAAAGATCATGTTCCCTCCTGAGAAGGGAGCAGGAGCTCAGCACCCTGTGTGAGTGTTTAAGTGGAGACACACACACACACACACACACACACACACACACACACACACACACACACACACACACACACACACACGGTAGCAAGTCAGGAATGAGATGGTGAATAGCATTCCCAACACCTCTTGAGTTGTCCCGCTTGTAACCTCCCATTTACCCAGTGCACTTTGAATGAACCCAAACAACAATTAATAATGGAATCAACAATCTCTCTCAACCAACAGCCCAAAAGCCCAACTTGGTCAAGGAAAACACACTTCAGGCTTTCTCTGGCAAAAAGAATCTGTCTAAAGTCAGACACGGAAGTAAAAGAACGCTACCACATCAACTTTCTGTGAGACTAACCTGAAACAGAGCATTAAACCACACACACGAAACCACAGACAGGCAGACGAGAGCAACATGGAGCGATGAGCTTAATAAACGCACACATCTAGAGGTTTGGCAGTGGTTCACGAGTCCTAGCGTGGCATTAAAAGTCTGATGGTGTGAGCTTCTTACTGCACAAAGGAGTGAAGCCGCCTGGATCCCCCACGGCTGCATCTTCACGTCGAGCCCATCCCAGCACACGCCGGTAGCCACCAACGGGATAAAAGCCATCTTCCTGCACTCTTTCTATCTCCTCCTAGCCATCCACCCGCACCCTCCCTTGCCAGCCTGTCTTCCTGCCTCTCGCAGACTGTTTAAAAGCTTATCTAACAAAGCAACACACCACACAGCCTGCCTATCTCTCCCCTCCCTGCTCAAGCTCTCTCCCCAAGTGAGAAAACAGAAATTCTTAGGCAAGCAGCTGCTGCTATGTCACATGACCTCATCCCAGCACCCCCTCCCTCCCTCCCTCCCTCCCTCTCTCTCTCTCTCTCCCTTCCTCACGCCTCCTCCTCCCCTCTCAACCTATAATTCCTCAGCCATTTGTAGATAACAGACACAGGCATGCATGCCCTGCCAAGGCGAAAAGGACAAGGGGGAAGGGAGGGAAGACAGGGGAGGGCGCTCAGTCGGTCACTACATGTGACCCCATTGCTAGGGAGTGTCACACAGAATCAGTGTGAGTTTGCATAGACAAGGATGGGTGGGAGCTGGTAGGTTACTTACACATGTGAAACGCCCCACATGAAGCAAAAAAAATAAAAAACTAAAATGCATGTCTTGACCTGTGTCAAGCCTGACTGCTTAGGAAAGAAAGGCTTTTGTAATCAGAGCATTTATCTCCGTAAACAACACAGCTCCGTCTGGAAATAGCAGGTTAATTATTCTTCTTTAATTAAACACTTTTTACCCCAAAACAAGAGAAATTATTTCCTGTATCACCACTAATACAGTTCCCATCCAACCAGATAAAAATTGGGTTTTTTATGTTTTGGGGGGTTCAAGAAAAGGGTACATTTGCGGGTTAGACTTCCCCTTCAGCGGTGCTGCTGTTATTGCAGGGGTGTGAATGAGTTGTTTCTTTAGTCATTTCCTCCTTCTGTCACTTTGTTGCTTTTCTTGAAAGGGCGATAGAGCATGTGACTGATAGAGATAGCGACAGCCAGGCCCGGACTGTGCTGAAGACCACCTCCTTAAAATACACTTTCACGTTTCACACCTGCCATCTATTTTCTAATCTTAAAGCTTCCTTGAGGTTTGAGCCATTTTTTTCTGATTGGTTCTTTTTCATCTGATAAAGGCCTTTTGTCTGTGGAAAATGCAAAATGTGTAATTGATGTAAAGCACAAATAAATAATGCCGCTTAACTGTTTTTATTTAAAAGAGAAGAGGAACTTTTCCTCCTGCTTTAAAGTATATTATTTTTATTTCAACGCAGAAGCCTCTGCAAAATCAAAATAAGTATATACTAAATTTATTTTGATTTCTCAAACACTTGTGAGACCGTTGGATACGCTCTTTTGTTTGTTATAACCAGCTAATGCTGGCTAGATTATTAGCCTGGGCTAGCAGGCTTGCAGCGTAACGGACACAAAGCTCTAAGAAACATGTGGAAAGGGGGTCAAAATATTTCACACATAAAAGATAGATCCAGTCACTGACACCTTCTTTCATTTCACTGAAAATACTTTGACATCTTTAGGAAAGTTACCATATATTTGATTTTTAAAACTAGAACTTTTCAATCCTCAGTAAATCAACTGATGCACAAGATGGAACTTGATCAGTCGACTCCTGGTGGGTTCTTTCTGCCATATTTCCAGGTTTTAATGGACAACATAGGCAAGAAAGACGATAAGGAATCATAAATTACTAGAAACCTAGGACTCTAGTAGGAATAACAATAAATAAAGAGGTTATACGATCAGGCACTGAAAAATAAAATTGGATAATTAATTAAATATGGTCTAACCAGTCATGTGCTCTTAAACCTCTCAATTTCCCCCTCAAAATTGAAAAAAAAAACAAGCAACATGCAAACTAAGGCCGTCTCTATTACCAAGACAAGAATATTATGGTTTGCTGCAACTTATGATGAGACATTTCTTAGGAATTTCCAAAAAAAAGTGAGCCAACATTTACATATAGATGCCCTTGGAGGTCTCTGTTCTTCCATCTTCCAGCAGATGGCAATGTGTTACAGTTAATCGGCACGTTCACAGCACGGTGTCACAGACTTAAAAGCTACTGATACACACCAGGAAAAACAGATTAAAAATGATACTGCTGGGGATTATGCAGAGGACAAAGGCCATTTCCAGTTCCACCATTCTTAGTGCAAAGCCCCTATAAATGAGATATTTTAGATGCGAGGCTAATTGATATAATGGTTTCCTGGCAACCTGGGGGTTAATCAGAGGTTCCCCTTGATGCAATTAACTGTTTGAGTGCTGCTACGCCCTCAGGGAAAACAAAAAAAAACCCATGAAGGAAGAAGTCAGATT